CAGTTGTTGGTAAACCAAAACCAGTATATTATTTAGTTGATGCTCGCCTCGGGAGGCATCGACCCTCATCCTATAGGAGGAACACCACTCTCTTCAATAGGAGAAGTACCACAACTTCTCTACTTTGGGCTCTAAGGCGCCCCCCAGCGCCAAGGCATCCCCATGCAGAGCCAGGGCACCCCTCGCCATGGAGTCCCTCCTCAGCATACAGGTGCCTCACATGTTCCCCCTCCTCATGTACCTGCTCCACATGCTACCAACTATCTTAGGCAGGAAGATGATGGAGAGAACCAGTATATTGATCATGAAAGCCACTACAATGATCTAACGGGGAATATCCCCAACTAAGGGGATGAGAAGATCAAGGAAGTGTAAAACAAGCTTGGCGATGCCCTCAAAGCCATTAAAGCATAGGCACTGGAGATGGTGGATTATTTGGTAAGGCGCATGGATACGCCGTTTGTTGCGGATGTTGTCAATTACCCCTACCCTCAAAATTCAAGATGTCTGTCATCGAGATCTTTGATGGTACCAAGGACCCTCTAGATCATCTTGACACATACAAATCTCTCATGCAACTCTACAACATGCTTGATTAGATCATGTGTAGAGTCTTCCCCACCACCTTGAAGGGGTCTGCTTGACAATTGTTTGCGAAGATCAAACTCTCTTCTATTCACTCATTCGCAGAGTTGAGCAAATCTTACTTCATTAGGGGACGCTGACATTAGAAGCCTGTTACCCAATTGCTCACCATCAAGCAGGACCAGGATGAAGGCCTTAGGAGCTACTTGACTCGTTTTAATGAGGGGGCTCTCCAAATCGAGGAGACATATGATAAGATAACCATGACTGTCTTTTATTGCAAGTCTGCGCTCCTCTAGTTTCATATTTTTTGTCCTGAAGAAGCCGCCCTCTAGCATGCTTGAGCTACTGTCAATGACACAAAAGTACATGAATGTAGAGGATGTCACCAATGCCAGACGAGGTGAGTCCTCTCAAGGAGGATGGAAAAGGAAGGACACCCTTGAGTAGGGGTGTTCAAATTTCTGATTAGCCTCAATTTTCTACCCTACTCGACCCTATTGAACGGCTAACCGAAAAAATCAGATAAGAGTGCAGAAGAGTTTTTGGTCTTTCAATTAAATTGGGTAGAAATGCAGAATAACCATTAATTTTAGTATTCCTACCTTACCCTACCCGTATTAATATCTCTAACTAGATGGTTTGAACTTAAAATAATTGTTATTATATTTGTGCAACAATTATGATGCATTGATGTTTATGATTTCTTGTGTTTTATTGTAATTGTTGTTGTAATTGTTTTAGATTTTAGTGTTATTAAATTGGTGAATGTTATTTAATTGAATTGTTAAAATAATTCAAAAATTAATAAATATAAAAGTGTTTACCAATTTTTTACTCGATTAATTTGACCAAAAATCAGGTAGGAATACTACACTTGATTGGGTAGGGTAGGTCAAGAATTTTTTTTTTCACAAAGTATTGGGTAGGAAGACAGAAAATTATATTTCCTATCTGTAGGGTAAGGTGAACACCCCTACCCGCAAGGACAAGCAAGAGGCAGAGAACAAGAGAAAGAGGACAAAGAGAGTCTCTGTCCCACACCCCAGAGAGAACGACAGGCTTTCATGCCGCTCAATGCCTCGGTGGAGCACTTCATGTTCTTGATACAAGACGATCCTACGTTCTGCTAGCCTAAAAAAATGAAGTTTGCCTCGAACGGAAGAAATCCAAGTAATTATTGTCGCTTCCACTGTGACCATGGCCATGACATTGACAACTAATTTGAGTTAAAAAAGGCAGATCGAAGAGAATATTCAGCGTGGTTTGTTACAACAGTATGTGGCTGGCTGAGGATAGGCCCCATCTTTGGGTAGGAATCAGGAGGATCGAGAGCGCTAGCAACCCCTTGGAGAAATCTAGATAATCTCTGAAGGGTTAAAAGAAGGAGGTAACTCCAACTCTGCTAGGAAAGCACACACCATGAAAGTCAGGCAGGTAGAGTCACAAGACTCTCGCCCAACAAAGACACCCTGGCACAGGGACGAGGAGATCATCATCTTCTTGGACAAGGACCTCGAGGGAATCCAAGCCCCTCACAATGATTCTGTAGTCTTAGCCATGATGGTAGCCAACTATCAGGTTAAGAGAATTCTAGTTGACAGCGGCAGCTCAACCGATATCCTATTTATACTAGCCTTTGACAGCCTTCACCTTAGTAGAGAGAAAGATTGCAACTCGTCAGGACTCCCCTTGTTGGCTTATCGGGGGAAAGGGTTTACCCCTTGGGTTCCATCACTTTGTCAGTCACAGCAAGGACAACACTAAGAAGTTTCACCATCATGGTGAACTTTATTGTACTAGACTGTCCCTCTGCCTTCAATATTATTCTTAGACACCCTGCCCTCAACGCCTTAAGGAAAGTGTTGTCCACCTACCACGTGCTCCTCTATTTCCCAACCACTAGTGGGATTGGAGAAATCAAAGGAGACCAGGTCTGTACTCGGGAATGCTACGTGGCCTCTATGAGGGCCTGAAGGCCATAAGAAACCCTCCAAGTCAAAATATTAGACCCTCGGGATGACATTACCTTGGAGAGAGGAGAACCAGTAAAAGAACTTCAGCCAATAGAGCTGGATGAAAGCCTTTANCAAGTCAAAATATCAGACCCTCGGGATGACATTACCTTGGAGAGAGGAGAACCAGTAGAAGAACTTCAGCCAATAGAGCTGGATGAAAGCCTTTCTGAGAGGAGAATTTATATTGGCTCCTCACTTTTTCAGGAGCAAGCATCCAATTTGGTAGACTTCTTCAGGCGGAACATGAATGTCTTCACTTGGTCCCACAAATACCTGGAGAGCATCAACCCCGAAATGGCCTCCCACCAACTTAATGTTGATCCCATGTACAAACCCGTCTGCCAGAAGCTAAGGAATATGAGTGTTGAGAGAGGCCAAGTTATGGAAAAGGAAGTGGAAAAACTATTGAAAAATGGGTCAGTAAAGGAGGTAGCCTACCCAAATTGGCTATCAAACATAGTGATGCTTACGAAGGCCAATGGAAAGTGGTGCCTCTTTATGGATTTCACGGAGATTAATAAAGTCTGTCCCAAAGACAACTATCCTCTCTCATGCATCGATCTCCTTATTGATGCCACTGTGAGACACATGCTCCTAAGTTTTTTGAATGCTTACTCCGGGTACAACCAGATTAGAATGTTCTCTCCAGACCAGCAGAAAACCTCATTCATCACCCCGAACGGCACCTACCGCTACATAGTGATGTCCTTTGGACTCAAGAACACCAGAGCCACATATTAGCGCCTCGTGAACAAATGTTCGAGGCTTAGATTGAGAAGACCATGGAATTCTATGTGGACGATATGTTGATGAAGAGTATGGCCGCGACAGACCATGTGACACACTTCTAAGAGACCTTTGATGTACTAAGAGCCTATAGGATGAAGCTAAATCTTGAAAAATGTGCCTTTGGCATTAGTTCAAGAAAATTCTTAGGTTTTATGGTCAATAAAAGGGGCATTAAGGCTAACTCATACAAGATTAGAGCTATCTTGGACATAAAGTCCCTAGCCTCTATGAAGGAGATCCAACGTTTTAACAGGAAGA